GCCCCAGCCCCAGCCCAAAGCCCAGTACTTTTAATTTAAGACTGGTAAAACTGATTTCCTAGATGTTTAAGATCAAGACTTAAAAAAATTAAAATTAAATTAAAAAGGCCAAAAAACCCCCACCCAATATTTGGCCCTTGCCCTTTGAGTCAGTCTAAATCCAGGGAACAGGGGACTTCTGTAAAGAGCTTTGCAACTCTGGGCCACATAACTTCCTGATCAGGAAGATTAATGAGACCCCTAGAGAACAAAAAGCCAATCAGTGCATTTGCTCTAAAGAGGAGGATCATTGGAGAAGGAAGACATCCCTGATGCTTCCAAGGGAAGCCACACGATCAGCAAGACCTGGACCCATCCCAGAGCAAATGGCACTAGCAGAACTAAAAGGCTGCTCTCAAGTTCCCCCAGGAGTGACTCCCATGGAAACTCAGCTGACTGTTAACAATAGATAGAAACAAAAGTCAGTTTGACTGCTTCATCTTAAATACTTAGCAAAAACAGTTAAAGCCAAGACACAGCCGTTCCTGGACATTTTAATAATAATAATAATAATAATAATAATAATAATAATAATAATAATATAACTTAAGGTATATTCCTTGTGTCAACTCCCCGAAATAAGTAAGACTAGTTGGAAGATGTACCTGTGTCAAAGATTCTCAGGCAGAAATGCCTGATAACTATCAAAAATATTATCAAGAGAAACTGCCAGAGTAAAAAGTTTTTAGTTAATTTAAGGCCTACAGATATTCCTAACTTACACAGGTAGGCTTGATGTTTGCTAGTACAGTTATCCAGCCTTAAGTAACAAAATTAAAGGTTTCTCTATTAGACACAGAGGTCATACTAGTAAAAAATTTTGTAAGATCAGATGACATTAAATTATTTAACTATATCTTATGGGAAAGGACATCTGTAACATTAAAAGTTAAATGTTATGTTTACATTCCTGATAACTGGGGATGTTAAAGCCTGGTGAAGAAACTTCCATTATACAGCTGCTGCAACATTTATTCAGTACTCATGGTTTTTGTTTCTCTCATTGAAGCACCCATTCCCAGATGACTTTACAACCTGTTCTTCCCCAACCAGACTTCAAACTGAACTGACTTCTAAAAAGGAACTCATGTCCCTCATGTTGCCCCCCCCCATCTCAAAAGAAGCAAAAATGAGTACTGCCCCTCTTCTTACAACAATGGAGCCAAAAATAGATAGACAGTCAATATAAATGGGTAAATTAAGTAGGTCAGATCAGGGAGACCGGTTTTGGGTGAGTTCAAAAAGTTGGAGACTGTTACCTGAGGGATTAAAATTCTCTCAGCACTCTTCCCCTACCCTATCAAAGATTTGAAAGGGACACATAAGAAAAGGGGAGACTAATAAACCCAGCCTAATTCCCTCTTAAGATTGGGAGCCATCTTACCACAAAGGCAAATTTTGTCAAAATTTTGTTATCTGTAAGTTCTCAAACCCGCTTTGTGTAACTTTCTGTGCTATAACGCTGTGCTCCAAGAGAGCTGTGGGGCTGTCTTTTGTTCCTGCAGTTTTTGTTGGGAGATTATTAGGTTGCAGTAATTTGATTTCAATTGGAGTTGGTGGTCTTTTCTTTGCATCGTGGTCTAACAGATGCTTCCTGTCTGCTTTCTTGGTTTCATGCCACAGAGCAGCCCAAAATGGTAAGACTGGTAAAATTGATTGGCTAGATGTTTAAGAACAAGACCTAAAAAAATTAAAATTAAATTTAAAAGGCCAAAGTAAAACCCCCACCCAATATTTGGCTCCTCTATTCCATCATCTTGGATCCAACTAATGTATTTTTTAAACCACCAGAATTAAAGACCTCTGAAGAAGTCTGAGTGTGCTTGTGTATTTTTGCTGACAATCCAGGAGCTCTGCACTCTCATGTCATTTTCTCATGTGGCCACCAGGGGGTAGTGCCTGACTTCCTGCCTTCATGACACTGCCCATTGGAGAAGGTTTGCAATTTTTGTCATCTACAGAACACATTTAATAGTGTAGATCATTTGTTTAACATATACTTACTTGATTTTATTCTTCATTATGATTTGGAAGCTGATGAAAATTCTCTACAAGAAACAAACACATGGTTATCCACTAGTTGGAAGATGTACCTGTGTCACATGAAGACATGAAAAATGATGGGTCCACCCCACATCTCTGTCGCATCTCCCTTCTTTCTCCATCCATCATGTACCAACATCCATGTAAAACATCTCGTCACAGTTAGATGTTGAGTATCACACATTTCTTCTGTCGTGTTATTCTTTTTTTATGATGGGAATCTTCAGTGCAATGTGATCTATCCTCAGAGACGGAATGTAACAGAAATGATGAGGTCTTACCATGGGTCCTCTGCAAGAGTTCTCATTGGATCTTTGTCAAATGGTAGATCTCATGGTTAGCATGGTTGAGGTGTGGCACACACTGTCCACTATCCCCAAAGCTCTGAACTTTCTTTTCCCTGGGAAAGTTTTGCTAAAATCCTTTATGTTCTGAAAGAACGTCAGGTCAGAATAATGAGATTGGTGATAACTATTTGAGAGAGAGAGAGAGAGAAAGTTATGATTTTAATCACTTTTTATACAAGAGTTTATCACTCTCCATTGTATTATGATCCTTGGTGTCCCTTTCAGACAGTGACCTCAGAGCAGAGTCTATGCCTTAGTTCTAATTTTATCTCAAGAGTAGTTGCTGAATACTGATGAATGAATACACTTACTTGAGATCCATGGTCTGACAGGTTGGAGAACCTTATTTGAATTTGGTTAGTGAAATTATCCTGTGGGATACTCTAATGGTGGATATGTGTTTCTTACACATTTGTCCAAACCCATATAATATTAAGATCGAGTCCTATGTAAAAGAATTTACACTAGAGATAGTGGTTTTTCCATTCACCAATTATAATAAATACATCAAATTTGGTGAGAGGTGTTGATAATGGGCCAATTGTGTATATGTGGGGTAGCTGGTTTATGGGATATCTTTTTGCCTTCTGCTCAGTTTTACTATGATCCCAAAACTTTTCTAAGAAAGAAAATCTATTTAAAAAGATCCTATGGCACAACTAAATTTAAAAGCTAGATGAATAAAACATAAACATCATAAGGAAGCTAAAATTAGAATTACCAAGTTGTAGTAATAAAGAACAAAACTGAAATTGCAAAAAAAAAAAATACTTCCAAGACAGTGGACACGTCTGAGAAGGGGCCCCCAAAATGCAGAGAAAACATGTAACAGAGAAAAGAATGTGAAAGGAGGTTATAGATGCACAGCAGATACACTCCTCCTTCTCCTCCTCCATCCAGTGATAAATATGCATCACATATAAGGATGTCATTTCAGCAGAACTCTGCAACAAAAACCATGCTGAGAAATACACTAGAAAACACTCCTAAACTGGGTAAAGCAAAACTATGCTTTTATCATTATTTTGATTTCCTCTGTTCACCTTCATTTAGTGTGAACTTTTTGATCATGCCAACATCTTAGTGTAAACAAAACTCATTGGGGGGTTGAGGTAGGGTTCAGTGACAGAGTTCTTGCCTCTCATTGCAAAGCCCTGGGTTGGCTTCCTGGTACTTCATAGATAGATAGATAGAATTTCATTGTACCTTGGTTTTCTCTTGCGATATATAACAAATTAAAGTAAAAAAATGAAAACAAAGTAAGCTAAATAAAAAAGCAGCAAGATGATTGAAAGCATGGGGAAAGGCACTGGTGGTGAAGAAATCTGTGATCTTGTAACAGGGCCCTTTGCTGTAACAGGGGTCTACTTCATACACTTTGAATATAACCTTGCTGCTCAAACACAGGTGGCTTATTTTAAAATTGACATGTTTTTCCCCTTCCTCTTCTCCCTTATCCCCTCCCAAGAAAAGGGGAAGCAAGAGGAATGTTCTTTATGTCCTAAGCTGAGTTATCTTCCCTTCCTTCCATTCAATGAATAAGGAAACTGGAGACCTACTAATTGCTCTTCCAATGATAGAAGTTAAACATTAATTACTTCCACAGAGAGAGATAACTTGGAGAACAGCCCTTGTATCCCCCTTTAAAAGCCCTCTATTCCTCCTTTGGCATGAGTCTTCTTTCTCTTGCTAGCAAAACAATAAAACTTCTTTTTCCCTTTTCTTGAAACTTAGTCTTCATTATTGAATGAAATTCAGAGAAGAGGATTGAGTTTCCTTGTCACCAACACGAGTGACCATTTTCAGTTGAGGAAACTGAAGTCTCAGAGAATTGCTGGTATCTGTAGGAGCTCATTTCTGTAAGAGGAGAGACAGGATGCTGACCCTGGTCCTACTGGGTCAGCCTTGTGCCTGTTCTTTTCATTGCAACAATCATTTGAAGGAAAACAATCATTCTGTTTCATTACACTGCTGAAAAGCTTGTATCCAACTACAGCAAAGATTCTTCTTTTTTATTTTGAGACAGGATCTCTCTGAGTTGCTTTGGGCCTCAGTAAGTTGCTGAGGCTGGCTTTGAACTCATGATCCTCCTGCCTCGGCCTCTAGAGGTACTGGGATTACAGGTGTGTGCCACCATGCCTGGCCCTTTATTATTATTATTTTAAATTTTAAGACAAGGTCTGGCTAAATTTCCCTGGCTGGTCTCAAACTTTTGATCCCCCTGCTTTAATTTACCAACCAGCTGGGATTTTAGTCTGGACCACATGCCATTTCTTTGTGTTTTGAAGGCATTTCCTAGGGAACTTTACTTTTTACTTGGAGACTTGGACCTGTCTCGGATGTTCCCTTCTAGCAGAAATTAAACTTGGTTTGTCCCTTCCAATATTATATGGACAAACTGAAATATGATGCAATGATGTGATAAATCCACAGTAGGCAAACCACAGGATAGAATAATGAGTGGTTGCTGGGGATGGGGAGAAAGTGTGGGGGAGGGGTGAGACTGGGGGACATGTTCTGGAATCAGTGGTGATGGCTGTACAACAGCAAAAATGCAATTAACTACTGAAAAACATTTCAAAATAAGTACAATATTCACTTTTATTCAAAATTAATAGTAAAAACAAAATCCAACAATGAAAATAGGAAAACTAGTGAAACAGTAAGGGAGCACAGGGGCCTCCCTTGGGCATTAGCAGGTCCAAGGTGGCGCTCAGGAGCTGGCATTGGCTATGGGGCCACTAGGAGCTCTAGAGCTGGAGGTGATAGTGAAGGAGTTTGGGGTCCTGGCTCTCCCTCTGGGGCTTGAGGTGAGGATGGAAGTGCCACAAGTACCAGAGGTGACCCTGCAGTTGCAAGAAGAGAAACAATCACCAAATGACCATCTTCTTTTCAGGGGCAAATTATTTCTCACTGCCTTTCAGAGGAAACTCTATATACAAAGCCACCACTGGAATTACAAACAGAGCAAACCTAGAGAGTTTGTTCTGTTTGTAATTATCCTGCCCCTTTCAGCTTCTGGAAGCTCTGCTCTGCATACCCAGCTCCATCTCATTTCCAGTGCTCACAGACCCCAACCCCAGTCCTCCTTCCCTTAAAACTCAGTGGGTTTCAGGGGCTTCCACAGGGCCCTGAGTAGGGACCTCAGTGTTCCAGGTGGAGCCGGGGGTGTTGGGCTTCACCCAGATTAACACATTGGGGAAGGGCCACCTGGACCTGGTCCACAGGGTTTACTACAGGAGCCGGTGATGGAGGAGGTGGTACTGAAGTAGGACAGAAGAGGACCTAAGGAATGTTCAGAAAGCAGGTTTATTGACTGCAGAATTCAGAGGTGGTTCTCGCCTAAGCATTCTTCCTCTAAAAAATGAGTATATATATATATTTATACCCAGGGTGTGGGGGGAGGGGATTAGGAGGTTCATACAACAAGTGTGTTTCATTCTGCCCTCTAGACTAATATGGGTTTCACAAGTTTTTTTCTGCAAACCTAGCATTTATGAACAAAGGGGGAGCTACAAACCACAATGTCTTCTGCAGATTTTGCTGATAGCTGATGTCCTATGAAAAAACTCTGATAAAAAGAGGAATTATATGCCACAAATACAGTGGGGGTTTCTGCTTAATGATGGTAAGGGTCCTCTGGGTGGGGGTCCCTGGCCTGCTTCATTGCTGGGCAAAGGAGGGTCAGCACCTGAGTGAGAGGCCTGGCCTTGTTTCCCATGCTGCCCTTGAAGGGTGACCCTGCATGGCTGAGCTCCTGGGCCTGCTTCCCCTGCCTGTCAAGAGGTCAGACCCATCATATGCCAACCCCAACATGGCACCCTTGACCCAGATAGCTCTGGTCACTGAAGAGACGCTGATAAAATGTCCCAATGGGTGGAAGTCCTGGATCAATGGTATGATCACCTCATCCTTCTTCAGGGAAGCTTGACACTGTCTGCTCCTTCCCCACCTGACCTCCCAACCCCAGGAGGAAAGGGAAGGGGTACCTTCTGTGTGCGTTGCTCTCACTGTCTCAGGCTGGTGCTCCATAAATATGTGATTAAGGAGGAAACAATGGGAGTCTGTCATGCCAGCCTTCCCTGGGTCTTCTAGCTCACATAATGGCATCTGCCAGGTCTCCTTTTACCTTGTCCCACTGATATGTGTGCATGTCAACAGGAAGCCAGGAGGGTGCCCTAGCTGCTGTAATGAAGGGGTCTGTGAAGATCCCACCTCGGTCCCAAAGAGTAGAAGAGCTGAGGAAAGCCCTGATCATGGGACCTTCCCTGAACTCTCCCCTTCCTCCCTGGCTCTGCTCTGGCCTGAGAAGTCGCGTGCATCCGCGCTCCACGCCCACAATTTTGAATGGGGAGCAAAAGGAACTGCTATTGGTCCAGCCGGTGGGGCTGAGCGCTGATTGGCTGAGGCTGGCAACGGACCTGCACGCGCGCAGAGAGCCGTTGAGGACTCGCTGTGTGGCAGTTCCCCAGCCCTGGGCTCAGTCAGCGCCTTGTCAGCACCTGGTGAGCACCGCAGGAGCGCCCTGGAGCCAGGTGCTGCTGTCCAGCCCCAGTGAGTGCCAGAGGTCTTGCAGGAGGCTGGGGAGGGGACCCTCCCTCTTAGTGCCTGGTCACTCAGGCTTGCCCAATTCACCTCTTGTCCCCGTCGGGTCTGGCTCCTCCTCTGTCCTCAGAGTCAGGTTCCTCAGTCCAGGGTTTCCTGAATTCTCCTGAAACACCCTCACTGATCCGTTGCACCCTGATTTCAGGCCTCTGGGTTCTGTTTTGAGTTGATGGTTTTCTATTTAGACTACCCCGGCCCCAGCCCCTGAGCATTTCCAGAGAAATGATTTACCAGTGGATCTACTTCTTTGAAGGCAGAACTGGGGATCTAGGGTCCTCAGCACCTTCTGTGACATCCTTCCTTTTCCCCATATCCTGAGAAGCCTCTCCAGAGACTCTTAGAAACAGAAGGGGCAAAGCGTAGCGTGGCCCTGCGGTGTCCCATCTATCTTCGTGACTTTGCAGATCTGAACATGTCATCTCTGTGAGAACATTGTCCCCACACCTTGTGCATGAGTTAACAATATCAAGCTTGGTTCTCATGATCACAGTGGCTGGACCCCACTGGATGTGTGCCGGGTAGGGCAGGGTCAGTCCATACACAGAGCAATCTTTCCAGTGGGAATAGCCACTGCACCCTTGAGGGGAGTTGCTGGCCTGCAGAGGAGAGCTCCTCTGGGGGCCTTTCCTGGCTCTGGCTCCTCTCTCTTGACAGCCTGGTGCACCAAGTGGGGGCTTGTTCTCATCTCCCTCTGTGGACCTGCTCTAGCCCTTGATCCATGGCTCTGACCAAGAACTTTTTCTCTGAAATGAACCTTTTTTTAATGTGGCCAAGGCTGCTTCTCACTTGTTAGGTTCAGCTCAGTTCTTACTACATTGAATAACTGTATTCCTCAATTTCCCTGGCAAAATTCATCATCCTGCATTGAAATCTCATTCTGATTTCATACATCCTGTGCAGCCCTGCAGACAAAACCAAAACCAAACCAAAGAACATGACTGTGTTTAACACCACTTTGGTGTAGTCCTCATAGCAGTCAGGAAAATAGCAGGGGGACACAGGGATCACTTTTGGTAAGGAGCCTTACAAAGATTTAGAGCTTGAGGGACATTTTAAGGAGAGAGGGGCTCTTTTTAAAGAGTGGACACTGTCAGGAAGCAGAGAATTCTATTGGTGGTAGTCTTACATCTTATCCAGAAAAGGGAAGACTGGAGGGAGGTGAATATTAATTGGGAGTGAAGCAGCAGTCCCTTAAGTTCACCAGATAGGGAATGTTTAGTCACATCTGTGAATTAATCTATGTTCACCTTTCATCTGTGTTCAGATGAAAGGTGAACATAGAGAATAGACTTCATTTTTGGTCCTGATTACTCATTTCACATTGAATTTGGTGCATGTTGATGCTCCATGAATTGCTTAGGCTTCACTAGGATTTCAGGGCCAGGCTGTGAGTGTCAAACCTGGTCCTGGCAACAGCAGGCCCCACTGATAGACAGGCCAACTGCTGGAGGTCCAGGCTGCTTTCTTCTTTCTCACAGGATCTCAGGGGCAGGTCCTAAAAGATGCCTCCTAGGAGGCATACCAATACATCTTTTTCAGTTATAAGGATTGTCAATACTTCCAAACAGGAAAAGGATAAATGAACAAAAATAATAACCAAATGTGTCTGTCAGTCAATCAATGTTCCCAAGTCCAGTGGATCAGTAAGAAACAACTGTGCCTGACACTGAAAGTAGAGGAGTCCAATGCCAGTTTCCTCCCATTCTTTTTCAGAGCTGCAACAGTGAGACACCTTCAGTCCTCAGATGTTCAAGACTTGTAGCTTCTTGATAGTGCACCAAAGATGCCAGTCTGGGAGTGGACTGAAGCCATCCAGCTCCTGGGGTAAGTTAGCAGTGGAAATCTCATGAGTTGTTAGAAGTCTCACAGAACACAAGTGGCAGGTAAGGCCAGAACAGGGGCTTCCAGAAAAATGTAACTTGAAATAGTAAGGTGCAGTTGAGAAGAACCCAGCATTCCCCTTGGCCTCCTCCTTGCCTTAGCAAAGAATGAGCTTCCTGAGCTGAGGTTCATCATGAGGGCTTGGCCAGGGCTTGGAACTGTGATGGCAGAGAGCTGATGGAGGGTTATTCCAAGTTGAATATTCTGAGAGGAGGAATCACAACCCTCTTTCTTTTCCTTATTTTCTTAGGCTTGTTCACATACTCAGATCTCTTGCCTGAGGCAGAGTGTCTCCAGGTACCTCATGGGACCTCCAGAAAAAGGAGACATGTTTCCTCTTACTCTCAAAGGCACTGCAGATTTCTGGCTGCAGGTTCTGGTGCTTTTATGATGAATTTTGCAACTGTAGAAAAGTCAGGGCTCAACCCTGTCTCTCCAACTCACCACCAAAAATTTGATCTCCCAAGATGAAACCTTGGAACTGGGTCAAAATGTAAGCAGAGGTTAATAGTTAAGGTGCAAAACTGTATTGAATAGGGGGAACATTAGTCAGCCCTAGACATTTAGCAGCACTGATTCTGGTTTTTGCTTTGGAGGTGCTGAGAATGGAACCCAGGGCCATGCACATGATAGCTAAGCATTCCAGCACACAGCAACAGTACTTCTGTCTTTAAAATTCATGTGGAATTGTTAGACTTAGTGTGTCAGTAATCTGATTTTCATTTCAAACTTAATTTGATTTGTTTGCATGCAAATCTATGCATGAGTAGAAGTAGATATCATTGATATCATAGTACTGAGAAAATGAAAGATCTTTGGGGCTAATTATTGTTTCAGTGTTACATTTGTTACATAGATATGTATAAATAAATTACTATATTTCATAGTAAATTAACAAATACTAAACTTCTAAATACATGCTTGTTGTATTTAAAGTAGGATTTGCTGTAGACTAGTCTATCCACCAAGAGAAATCAAGGGAACTTCTGTATTTAGGATAAACACACCAGATTCTAAATTGTTGTTTGTGTTCTAACAACAGCAACAACAACAAAATGAAGAAATAATGACTTTAAGCAAACTACTGCAGGGCTAGACATAGGTCCTGGTGCGTTCCTCTCTTTGAGAAGTTCCTAAGGCATAATAGAAAACAGTATAATTTTTTTTCAAAAACTTGAAAGAACGACTACCATATAATTGATCTAGCAACCCCCCATTTGTTTGTGGATGAATAAAGAATATGTGAAGAGTGTGTGTGTGTGTGTGTGTGTGTGTGTGTGTGTGTGTGTATGTGTGTATGATGGGGGTGGGTATTGAGAGAGTAATAAGAATATTATTCATTCTTTATTTTTCCTTTATAGTGGGGATTTATCCCAAAGGCATTTAACCCATTAGCCACTTCCTCAGCTCTTATTAAATATTTTATTTAGAGACAAAGACTCCCTAAGTCATTTAGCATCTTGCTAAGTTGCTGAGGCTGGCTTTGAATTCATGATCCTCCTGCCTCAGCCTTCAAAGCTTATGGGATTATAAGAGTGAGCAAGCACACTTGGTTATTATTGAATCTTAAAAAAGAAAATCCTCTCTTTGTAACAGCATGGATTCCTGAGGACAACATGCTAGTGAGATCAGCAGACACAGAAAGAGAGATACTGTTTGAGCTCACTTCTGTGTGAACCTAAAAGGGTCAAACTCATAGAAGCAGAGAGTCCATGGTGGGCATGAGGGCTATTGAGAGGGGAAAAGGGATAGGTGATGTTGGTTAAGGTTATAAAGATTATACATGACGGAGAATTTCTAAAGATCTAATGAATAGCATGGTGAATACAATTAATAATATGGGCTCTTTAAAATTTGCTAAGGGGTTAGATCTTAGGTATTCTCAACACACACACACACACACACACACACACACACACACACACTCAGAAGAAAATGGTGACTGAGTTGATAGATCTAAGTTTATTAGTTTGTGGTGATCATTTCAAAGTGTATCCAAACATCATGTTTTGTACATCAATGTGTACAAATTTAATTTCACAGTTACACCTCAACAACAGTGTTAACAAAAACAGTAGCCAAGAGTCTGAATGGTGTGGACACCTGTGCTGGAGGAGGGAACAAGGTCAGTCATTCTCAGGGGATGCACCCAAAGAGCCATTCAGCTGGAGGACAGTGCCTTCTCACTGCTGAGAAGCAATCTGTCTCTTTAGGAGGTCTTGGGGATTGTTTCTAGGGAATATCACCACTCTCTAGATCAAAAAGCACTGGTGGATTTGCAGCAGGAATTACCTCACTGCTGCCCACAAAGCTCCTATCATCAGCATGAAAGGTTTCTGTTTAAGTAGGATCAAAGCTATAGCTACTTGTTTTCCTTATTAATTGTTGTGTGTTTGAAGATTTTAAGTTAGTAAATTATAATTTCCTCTACTGTTCACAGTAGGTCTCTATTTAATCCTTCCATAGATAAATAGCTTTTGACAAATCCAACACCTGAGGTTGGCCTGCTGGATGCATAAGGAAATACAAAGGAACAAGAGTTAAATATAAAGTGCTTTGGTTATTGATACTTGTCATGTCTTCAGTGGAAGAAAGGGATGGACCAAGCTTATATGATGACCCATGCAAACTCTAGCCTTTAACTGAGAACCCCTACCAAAGGAGAGTGTGGGGAAAGATGCTCACAGTGGGCCGTTTCTCTTCCAGAAAACTTTATATGAAACTCTTAGCTTCAGAATCCTTTCCAAAGGGGAAACTATGCTGAAACTTCACAGACAGAAGAAGGCTAGGCAAATTCCCAAGAGAATAAGCAAGGACAGAGGAGACTCAAGGGGCTTATCTCAGCAGGCTTTAAACAATTCTTAATAAATGGGATGAACAAATCAGATATTGATGGAGTAAATACCAAAGCTTAGTACAAGACTCCCAGAAGTTGTGTGGCCTCATAAGATATCCCAGAGTGTCCCAAGAAATAATCTACTTTGTCCATCCTAGTTGATTTGAATCCAGAAAACTTAACCCTAAGTCTCCTGGGAAAATAGTCCCACAAATCTGATCAGCAGAAGGCCTAATACAAAGGAAAAAGTCTCTTATATACACAAAAGAATGAAAAACGGTCCAAAGATTGAGAATAGATATTTCTGGGACTCTTTCACACAGGATCCACATGACCCATGTTACCAAACCCACTGAGGAATAACTAATTAGAATATAGTTAGCTTGAGAGGATAGAGATCTGCAAGGCTTGATAGAATTAAAGGAAAGTAGTGGATGAAAACAAATGTTTTAAATTCTTCATGAAAATATTGTGTTTCATTGAACAGTGTTTTATGGAGCTGGATACTGTTTGAGGAATGTTTTTCTTAACTAGTATGTACAACAGAAGCTGCTAAGTGTGCAAACTTATTTAAAATTTTTCATTCTAATTTCTTATAAATGACAGCAGAATGCATTACAATTCAAGTTACACATATAGAGCACATTTTTTCATATTTATGGTTGTATACAAAGTATATTCACACCATTCATGTCTTCATACATGTATTTAGGGTAATGATGTCCATCTCATTCCACTGTCTTTTCGACCCCTGTGCCTTCTCCCTTTCCTTCCTACTCCTTTGCCCTATCTAGAGTTCATCTAATCCTCCCATGTTCCCCTTCCTAACCCTGACATTAATCAGCCTCCCTATGTCAGAGAAAATATTTGGCATTTGTTTTTTGGGATGTGCTAAATTCACTTAGCATTATAATCTCCAATTTCATTCATTTGACTCCAAATGCCAGGATTTTGTTCTCTTACTGATGAGTAATATCCCATTGGATATATATACCACATTTTCTTTGTCCATTCATCTACTGAAGGCTGTCTGGGATTATCCCACAATTTAGCTATTGTGAATTGTGCTGCTATAAACATTGATGTGGCTTTGTCCATGTAATATGCAGTTTTCAAGTCCTTTGGGTATAGACCAAGGACTGGGATAGCTGGGTCAAATGGTGGTTCCATTCCTAGTTTTCCAAGTAATCTCTATATTGCTTTCCAGATTGGCTGCACCAATTTGATCTCCCACGAGCGATGTATGAGTGCCTTTTCCCTCACATCCTCGCCAACACTTATTGTTGTTTGTATTCTTAATAGCTGCCATTCTGACTGGAGTGAGATAAAATATTATAGTAGTTTTGATTTGCATTTCTCTAATTGCTAGAGATGCTGAACTTTTTTGTATTCTTATTGATTGATTGTCTATACTCTTCTAAGAATTGTCTGTTCAGTTCCTTGGGCCATTTACTGTTTGGGTTATTTGTTTTTTCCGTGTTTAGCTTTTAGAGTTCTTTAAGTATCCTAGAGATTAGAGCTCTATCTTATGTGTGTGGTAAAGATTTTCTCCCAAGATATAGGCTCTGTATTCACCTCACTGATTTATTTCTTTTGCTGAGAAGTACCTTTTTAGTTTCAATTCATCCAATTTTTGATTCTTGATTTTAATTCTTGTGCTATAGGAGTGTTATTAAGGAAGTCAGGGCCTAATCCAACATGATAGAGATTTGGGTCTACTTTTTCTTCTGTTAGATGCAGGTTTCTGGCTTAATTCCTAGGTCCTTGACCCACTTTGAGTTGAGTTTTGAGCATGGTGAGAGATGGGGGTTTAATTTCATTTTGTTGCATATGGATTTCCAGTTTTTCCAGCATCATTTGTTGAAGAGGCTATCTTTCCTCCAATGTATTTTTTGGCACCTTTCTCTAATATAAGAAAATTATGTGGGTTAGTTTCTGTATCCTCTATTTTTTTTTTTTTTACCATTGGTCTACCAGTCTACTTTGGTGCCAATACCATGCTGCTTTTGTTACTGTTGCTCTGAAGTATAGTTTCAGGTCTGGTATAGTGATGCCACCTGCATCACTCTTCTTGCTAAGGTGCTTTAACTATTCTAGGTCTCTTATTTTTCCAGATGAATTTCATGACTGCTTTTTCAATTTCTATGGGGAATGCCATTGGGAGTTTGATTGGAATTGCATTAAGTTTGTAAAGTGCTTTTGGTAGTATGGTCATTTTGACAATATTAATTCTGGCTATCCAGGAAGAAGGAAGATCTTTCTGTCTTCTAAGGTCTTATTTAATTTTTTTTGTAAGCATTCTGTAATTTTCATTGTAGAGGTTGATTGCCAAGTATTTTAAAATTTTGAGGCTATTGTAAATGGTATAGTTTTCCTCATTTCCCTTTCAGAGGATTTGTCACAAATGTACAGAAATCCCTTTGAGTTATGGGTGTTTATTTTGTATCCTGCTATTTTGCCTAATTCATTTATTAATTCTAGAAGTTTTCTGGTGGAATTTTTGGATCTTCTAGGTATAGAATCATATTGTTGAGAAATAGAGCTAATTTGAGTTCTGTATCCCTTAATTTCTTTGGTATGTCTAATTGTTCTGGCCAGAGTTTAAAGAACTATGTTAAATAGAAGTGGTGGAAGAGGGCATCCTTTTCTTCTTCCAGTTTTTAGAACAAATGCTTTTAATTTTTCTGCATTTAGAATGATGCTGGCCTGGAGCTTAGCAAAGATAGCTTTCATGATTTTAAGGTATGTTCCTGTTATCTCTAGAAATGTGCAATATTAATTAGATGTTCTAAATTTGTTTGATTTTTTAATAATCTCTATATCCTGATAAAGATGCTTATTTGCTTCTTTTATTTATTTGCTTATTTATTCTTTTATCTGTTTATGTAATTCATTTTCAATGTGTTCTAGGGCCTTTTGTTGTGTCTAGTCATTTCCCCACTTTTCCTCCAGCCAGGCCCCGCTCACCGGTGATGCTCACCACAATACTGGCTACACGCCTGGGAGCCCTATTTTCTTAAACGACTGGGCACACTCTCCCTGTTTGCCATTCCCTCAGACCCTAAGTTTGTGGAGCTTGGGGCTGAGAACCCTCAGCATATTTTGCTTGCTCTCGGTAGCCACGCCCCTGTAGCTGGTGCAAGAGACCTCAGTTGTCAGCACTGGTGGGAGCAGTAGCTGGGGTCCCGCGCCACTGGTCCTGTGCCACTCCTAATTCCTTCGGTCTGACTATCGCTCTCACAGGAGAACTGGGAGGGGCCCTTGAGGTTTCCCTGCTGTGTAGAGAGGGAAGGCTAGGGGGTTACACACCTGCCGCTGCCGGTTTCAATGAAGTTATCTCCTCCCCCGCATTCTGGTGATGTCAGATCTCTGCGATGGTGGTATCCCATGCAAATGGCGACAGTTTGTTCCCTTTGCCGGGTGATCAATGCAACGGGTGGGTCCTGACTGGCTCTCCCAAGCCCCGTCTCAATCCTGTAGGCCACTGCCTATGAAGGCTCGGTTGGTATTAACCTCCGCAGGTTCAGAAGGGCCGACCAGTTGTTTCAGCGGGATCCTTTAGTACTGAGTCACAGCAGTTTGTTTGTGAGACGCAGGCGAACGGGAGCTTGAATTCAGATGATCTGGGCTCAGTGTGTGTTCTGAGAGGCACAGACTATTCGCCCCAGATCCACATCAGCTCAGCATTGCCTAGTGATCCTGAGCATACAGCATTTAGATGGTTTAAGACTCCCTATGCCCGAGCAGCTGAAGAGGTCAGAGACTTGATCTCTTCGTGCCCGCCACCATGTTGGATCTCTCATATATTTTCTCAAATGTTCTAAATTTGAACAAGATGATTGCTTGAGCCCACACAGGGAATGGGATTTAAAGAGCATAGGCTCAACGCTGGAGTACTGGAATGGACAGATCCTTTATAAGATTGTGCTGGGTACAGTGTAACCAGGTGCTTGCACAAAAACCTATGAGCACCTCCCAATGATAACTGATAGAACTTTGATCAAGAGAATTTTCATTCAAAGAACAAATTACTCCATTGCTATTAGTTGAAAATGCCCTTGTAACTGAAGAACAGAAAATATCCCTGAAACACAAAATATGCATGATGCCTTAGGTGATGTTGGAGAAATGCTGTAATGGGGAGGGCTGGTAATAAATGAAAAGCCTTGTGCAGAAACCTACTCTCAGGAGATGCAGAGTTAGTTGACATTCCTGAGCAGTTTGGTCTTTTCCCTAGGGCTGACTTCAGAGCAACCTGTGGAACTGCTGGATTCTATCCCCACTTGGACTCTTCCCTTTGAACAACTAATGATTGACAAAGAGGTGGTTGGTTTCTGGGTAGCTGTGGCAAGCATGCAGTGAAATCAAGAAAAGGTAAAAGCAGATCAACTTTGGGGGTTTAATTCCATGATGTTTGCTCTATATTTGGTTTTCATCCTGACTGATGGGAGTCTGGCTCCGTTGCCTGCCCTAATCGTGAGGCAGAGGGGCAAAGGAAAGCTGGTCTATTTAGGGAGTGCCTCTATGGGGCACAACCCATAGAAATCACTAGGAATATGAAAGGTGCATTGAAGTAGGAGTTGCCATTGTTTACCAGAAGACCCTCCGTCCAGGATTGGGATATAATTTGAATTGACAAGTAGGTTTTCCAGTGTGCTTGCTTGAGTTGGTCACCTGGGTGCAAGGTAGGGGGGGCTGTAGCAATACACAGATGGGCTGTCTCCAGACATGTTGAATTTGCACCCTGTGAGGTGCAAGGATACTATAAGAACTGTCCTGTCTGTGAGGGAGGGAGGAGGATTGTGCCTCTGGCTATGGGGCAGATTCCCAGAGAAGAAGGTCTTGCCTAGAGCTGGAAATTCTGTATCCCTGGGACACTATGGTCTGTACCCACAGAAAGAGAAACAGACTCTAGACTGGCTCATGTGGTCTTGAAAGGTGATGAGTTCCAAGATCTACAGTCCTCAGGCTGGTGTCTCAGGAGAACCAATGGTGGAATTCCAGCCTGATCCTAAAGGCCTGAACACAAGAAAGCCAATAGTGTAGTTGAGGTGAGAAGGTGGTTGGTTGATACCCAGGAAGTGATGTTCCAGTTCACATCTGAAGGCAGATAAAACCCACTGTCATGGCTCAAAGGCAGTTGGGCAGGAGCAGAGCAGTTCACCCTTACTCAGTGTTTTGCTCTATCTAAGCCTTCAACTGATTGGATGAGGCCACTCCTGATGGGCAGGACAACCTGCTTTTCTTGGTCTACTGATTCTCATGTTTCTTTCATCCAAAACAACTTTACAATAACACTCCAAATCAGGTTTTCTAAATATGTGAGACCCCTGTGGCCCACTTATGTTGACCCTTGAAGTAAACTGATAACAATCACTTATGCTTCAGTTAGTAATAAAAAACTGATACATGAACTGTTAGATGCTTCTCACTTCATGACAATAATACTTCAATGTGTTTCCAAAATGGTTAGAAATTACCCCATAAATTCATAAGCCCATTTATAATTAGGAACAACAAAAGAAATACAGAATTTATTTTGGTAATGAAGCCTAATTTTTCCCTAGTAAATATACAAGCTACTTAGATTAAATGAGATATAAAAATCTATAAACACATCCAAGTTGTATGTAAAAATTGATTAGAATGTGAACAGATACACAGTATATGTTACCTGATATATGACATTCATCAAATGCAAAAATATAGGGACAAGGAAAGGACCAGTGATTTCCAGGGATTAGGCTGAGGATTGAATCTGTGAGGCAAAGGATTTTTAGGGCTGTTAAACTATTTTGTAGGATACAATAATAATGGATACATATCATCGTACATTTGTCCAAACTCATTGAATGTAGGATAGCAAGAATAAAATGTTTGTTGTAAGAAACATCACTTTAGTGGGGGATGTGGACAACTGGGAGCCTGTGGTAGACAGGAGATATACAGGAAATCTCTTCCCAATTTTGATGTGCACCTAAAACTTCTCCAACAAATGAAGCCTATTAAAAACAGCAACAGTATTACCCTATGTGCATATATGATTACAGAACTGAACTGGTGTAGCTCTGTGTCATGTACAACTGGAAGAATGAGAAGTTTCACTCCATCCATGTATGATGTGTCAAAATGCATTCTACTGGGCTGGGGATATGGCTCAAGCGGTAGCATCCTCGCCTGGCATGCATGGGGCACTGGGTTCAATCCTTAACACCACATAAAAGTAAAGATGTTGTGTCCACTGAAAACTAAAATATAAATATTAAAAAATTCTCTCTCTCTAAAAAAATGCATTCTACCATCATGTATAAAAATTAGAACAAATTTAAAAATAACATATTACATCCCCCCAAAGAGAAGAGAGCCATGTAAATTAAAATTCTATATAATAGATAGAAATGAGAGAATGCTTAATAGTTAGAGGACATGGACATATAGATTATTGAATATTATTAAATAATCAAAATATGTTTGAAACCAGATGCTAAATAACCATTAATAAGTACCCATTTTCATTTTTAACTGTATTGTATCCTAGCATTTCCAAGGCATATTTATAACAAATATCTGTCAATGCAATTAACAAGTAAATGAATATGAAGTTCCTGGAATGTTGATCCAGCACAACAAAACATCAGTTTTTAAGAAACTATATTATTTTTATAAAGAAAAGCTAATATGCAAATACATATCATATCCTTCATATTCATGCAAATTAAAACCTCTCTAGGAAAAAAATACTCTGAAATCTAACGTATTATGAAAGATTTAATTCACATCAAGATTTTTTTTTCTGTTTTTCAGTAGATGTTCTTAGTGGATTCAACAGCAAGACAGTGGAATTTGGGCTCTACTTTAGGGGCCAGAAGATTGTGACCTATGGAACTAAACATTGTCAGGACCACATAAGCACAATAAATTTTGTGGCAGACAAAAATCTCACCCTTGCATATGCAAGAGAAAAGGGACTTTCTATTTTCTATGGAAGCACTTCTTGCTCCATTGTACTTTTAACCTTTACATCAGGAGTTGTTAAAATGCCAACAAATGATGTGGAAGAAGAAATTTAATACATGTATATTGGGTCATTTATTTCAAAGCATACCTTGAGAGCTTATTTAAAGGAATTTGATAATTTATTCCACTTCAATGTATGGTTATAGTACAATAATTTATAGCATACAAATATTTACAAAGGGATTTGGTTCACATTTTGAAGTTTCAATGCTATTATTTGCTATCCCAATTTTTATGATGATATATAAGGAATAAATTAATCTATTAATGTTCTACCAAATTTCACTGAAGAATTTTGTTAGAGCCTAGCATTTTTAAAATATCACAACTCTGAATGCATACTGAGTAGGCATATAAATGAAGCAATTTCCAAATCTAGTGAACCAAAATTGTTTTTCAAAAGATCAACAAAAGTGAAAGTCCTTTATCTGGGTATATAATAAAAAGGAAGATTCAAATTACTAAAATCAGAGATGAAAGTGAGAACATTACTATTCACTTTACATTTGTAAAAAATTTTATCTGTGCACAATTGGGATGCTTGTAGTCATAGCTACTCAGGAATCTAAGGCAGACAGATAATTTGAACCTAGTAGGTCAGTGTCATCATGTTCAACATAGACCCTCACTCAAAAAACATACTGTTAGAGAAAAGTATGTGAAAGTTATTCCAATAAATTGAATAACTGGTAGTAAAATTGAAATTCCAAGAAGCATACCACCTTCTAAAGACGAAATCATGAGAAATCATAAAAAATGAGAATACACATAAAAATCACAAGGAGATTAAACTAGTAATCCAAAACAACTTTCCAATGAAAAGTTCTAGACCAGAATTTCAAATGAACCACATGGATGGTTCTGAACCAGATGACTTCACTAAAGAAGTCTATCAGGGTTGGGGTTGTGGCTCAGAGGCAGAGCAATCACCTAGCATGCATGAGGCACTAAGTTTGATCCTCAGCACCACATAAAGTAAAATAAATACATTGTGTCCACATATAACTAAAAAATATTTTAAAAACTATCAAATGTTTAAATAAGGACTGGGATTGTGGCTCAGTGGCAGAGTGCTTAGCTAGCATGTGTGAGGCACTGTGTTCTATCCTCAACACCACATAAAAATAAAAGTATTGTGTCCTATCTAAAACTAATAAAATTATAAAAAATGTTTAAATAAGCATTACCAGCTTTATTTTCCAAAATTCAAAGAAGAAAAAAATACACCTTATGCATTCTGAGAGGCCAGCAATAACTTGGCCTCTTGACAAGAGAAGGAAATTCTAAATCATTATCCCTTATGAATCCTGGTGTAGAGATGTTTACAATGCTATCAAGTGCAATTCAGCAGCTTATTAAAGTGACTGTATAATGTGACCAAGTATAATTTATTCTAGGAACACAGGAATAGCTCAACATGTGACCATCAATCAGTATACGACATTAGCAGACTGAAGTAAAGGAAGCATTTGAAAAGATTCAACACTATCTTAAGAAGAAAAAAAATTACAGTTAACAGAGTTGGACTAGAAGGAAACTACCTCAACAGAGATATTACATGAAAAGCCACAGCTAACATCATATTTAATAGTAAAAGCTTGTTTGGTAAAATTGGCAAAATGTTCAGGACACATGCTTTCCCCTTCCATTCAATATAATAGTGAAAGTTCTGGGCCAGAAGCATAAGGAAAGAAAATGAAATTAAGGCATCCAAATGGGGAAGAAAGAAAGTATATCCTTTCACAGAAGACATAACACATATGTAGAAAATCCTGAAGATGTCACACAGAAAATTGTCAGAACATATAATTTTAGTAAAATTGTAGAATGTGAAGGTAACACCCCAAAGGAAATTGAGAACACAATTCCAAGGCATCACATTTGCTGATTTCAACTATGAAAAGCTAGGATATCAAGACAGCATGGGACTTGCATGAAAACAGGCACATAGTCCAGCAGAGCCAAGCTGAGAGCCCAGACTTCAACCCACACATGGGGTCAAGTCATGTTTGTCAAGGGGGCCAGAAGTGCATGAGAGGGAAAGGACAGTCTCCTTAGTACACGGTGCTGCAGAGACTGGGCACCTACACACAGAAGGATGAAATTGGACCCTTATTTTATGTTCCATACACAGAAAGGATCTTGAAATGGAAAACAGACTTAAATGTAAGTCCTGAAACTCTCAGAAGAAAACCGAGGGGAAATCTCTTGATATGGGATTTAGCAATGATTTTTTGGACATGAGACCAACAGGATGGGCAACAGAAGAAAACTAAACAAGCAGGGCTACAAAAAGCAAAGGAATCCATCCATAAAATGAAAGGCCAATGTCCAAAGTGGGGGAAATATTTACAAAACACATCTGACAGGGGTTAAGATGACTCTAATAGTGGGGAAAAGGCCTGCCTTGGCGTTTTCCCAAAGGAAATGACAGGTTACCAACAGGTATGAAAAGGTGCTCAGCATCACTAATGGCTGGGAATGCAGATTCAAAACCAAAATGAGGTGTCACTGAGCACCTGTTAGGCTGGCTCTTGGCAAGAAGTCTAAAGAACAAGTGTTGGCATGGCTATGGATCAGTGGGGACCCTTGTACACTGTTGGTTCAGAATTTCACCTTTACAAGTGGAAAGAGTTCTGGAGGTGGACAGAGGTGGTTATTGAGCAATAATGTATTTAATATTATTGAACAGTACACTTAGAAATGGTAAAGATGGTCAAATTTTATGATACATGCCTTTCCCACAGTTTAAAAAATAAAAATTAAAAATTTATGTTGAATAAAAGTCTAGAATACAGATTTTATCCTGAAAGCTCTGCAGTTTTAGAGTTGATCCTGAGTATTTGGTTTTTGTATCAGAACATTATAACAGCTTGGTACTTGGCATCAGTGCTACCTAATGATTGCTGTTATTTTCATTATGCCAAAAGATCCCCATGTCTTCTGTACAGTGGTTGATTTGTTGGGTTTTAGCAACACCTCTTTCCTTCCCACGGAGTTAGTCTTTTGAGAGCCTCTTCCTGTTACCTCCATATGCAGCCAGCTTGATGGGAGCCTTGAGAAGCCAGGAGACTTGGAAATCAGGGGCTGCCTGCAGCCCAGATGTTTGTAATGAGGGGAGTTTTATGTATATAAAATTATGTCATCTGCAAACAGGGATATTTAGACCTCCTTCATTTTTATTTTGATGCCTTATATTTTCTTGTCACCTCTTATTTCTATGGCTAGTACTTTCAGTAGAATATTGAATACACATATTCTTTTGTTCCTAATTTATAGGAAATAATTTCAGCTCTTCTCTAATTAGTGTGATGTTTCTTTGGTCATGGTCTCTGAACATTCTGTCTTCATGGTCCACTTTATTTTCAAGATACTTTGTCTATGAGACCTCAAATCTGTCTTCAAAGTGGTCTATAGTCTGCTGGTAGTGTTTTCCATTGAGTTTTTAATGTGCTTATTGAGTCTTTCACTTCCAGGATTTCCATTCAGCTTTTTTTTCAGAATCCCTCTTTATTCAAGTGAACCTTTACTACCCATATTTTCTCTTTATTTTCACTCATATCTTCTTTTAGCTCGTACAACATTTTAACTATGAACTCTCTAATTCTTCTGACATTTCTTCCACTGCAGTGTTGATGGGATCAATTGTTAAAATTATAGGCTTTTGGGATGCTTTGTTCCCTTGCCTTTTCATATTGTTTGTATGTCTATCCACCTGTTGTGATAGCTGTTGTTTTTTTAAAAAGGGACTACTTTGTGAGCTTCTTTCTTTTAAGAGCTCCGAGTTGAGTGAATATCCAGATATAGGTACTTTAAGTCAAAATGAGACTTTTGTTGATCTCAATATCAGCAAAAGTTTGAGAAATGCCACCGAACCCTGAATATTACAATCACTCAGAACCAAGCCTCCTGCTATTCAACCTTATGAGAAACACAATGATGACATTGTTGTCCGCAGTTCCTCAAATCCAGGTCTAAGCTGTAGTGAAGTTCTGGAATAGGTCAAGATTAGTTCTTCAATTTACTAAAATTGGTATAATCTTACATGAGGGCTAAAATTGGGGAAGAGGAAAGATTGGGGAAAGAAATGAGAGGGAGGAAGGAAGGAAAAGGAAGGAAGGAAGAAGAAGGAAGGAAGGAAAAAGAAGGAAAAGGAAGGAAGGAAGGAAGGATGATTTGGAAAGTATTTATGCTTGAGGTAGTAGCAGATAACTGAAGAAGATCACTATAAAGGGTAAGAAGAGCAGCTATAAACTAGAGCCTCTAAAATAAGGATATGAAGATTGATTTCAGTTAAACCAGTAGATAAAACACAGTCACATGTGTTGAATCTTGACTATTAGCATAACCACTATTATTCAAGTGAAAAAGTTATAAAATTCTTTTTGGATCTTGGTTTAGGTTTCATTGGGGTTTAGACCCAAATGAAAGATGTGCATCTTTGTCTGTGGGTCTCTCCATCGTTGCTGGGGCACAGGAGCCACTTCCCTTTTGCTGTGAACCTCCCACCAGCTGCCACCACCTGGCAATCAGTTAAGTTATATCACTGGATATTCAGACAGCTTCCCTCTGGTATGGACTATCAAGGGGATGGTCCCTGGGCTTCTTAACAGTGCTTCCCCTCAATGTCATGGTTGGTGCTGCTGTGGTCCTCAGGGATCCATTTTCCTCTGCTCAGGGCCACAGTTGCTTTGCTGCTTTGTCATTGTCTGGGTCAGTGGATGCTGCACAGAGATTTTTTTTTTTGTTCTTGTTGCTGTATTGTTTTGTTTTGTTTTTTTTCTCCCTGCCTTTGCCTGGGTTGCAGAGTGGTGGGCTAGGTGCACTTCCCAGCACAGGCCACTCAGCCCCACCCACTCTTTTGTGGGGAGGGGAGGAAGAGGGAGTTTCAGTGATTTGGGGGCTACTAATGGTTCCTCTAGAACTTCTTTCTTGCTCTATTCCTATGAGGTCCCACTACAGGGGACTTCCCTCTGGTTTCATTTGCAGCTGTCTGGACATAGGAAGATGTCCTGTCATGAGATGGCTGTGAAGCCCTGGCTCAGCTTTCCTTTCACAATTTGGTTTTAATCTTTGATATGTTATAAGGACCCTGCTGTTCCCATAACACTTAAATTTTTATCTGCCTTTCCAAATGTTTTTAGTGGGTGAGTTTAAGTAAATTTCTACTCCCTCTCTCTTTCTATTGCCCCTTACCCCTTACCCCTCACCCCACCCTAGTCTGGCTTTGGGTTCAGGGAACTGTGTGCTGATTTTCTACTGTGATAACCAGTCTGCAAATCTCTCCAGGTCTTAAGACTTTGTTATACTGAGTCTTAGAACATTTAAGTTTTCACCTATCTCTCAATTCTGGTTTTCCTTCACTGCCTCCTTTCTGTTCATTGAGACTGGAAATCATTGGTTTGCCCTCTTCTACCATCTTCCCAGTCTCTTTATTGATTTTCTTTTAATTGGTGCAATATAGTTATATATAAAATTGGACTGCATTGAGATATATCCACACATGCAAATGGTATAATCTGATCAAATTTATTCCCTAGTTCTTCCCATTTTCCTCTTGTCCTCTCTCACCCTTGATTTTCTATTTTTACTTTCCCTTCTATTTTTGGAAGATCCCCTCTTCTTATTTCTTGTCCCACCCTAATTTCCGTTTATGAGAGAAGGTATTTGGCCCTGACTTTGAGTCTGACTTATTTTACTTGGCATGATGTTCTCCTGTTCCATTTATTTACCAGAAAATGACATAATTTCATTTTTCTTTATGGCTGAATTTCTACCCTTTATCCATTTGTCTATTGGTGGGCACTTGGCTGGTTCTGTAACTTGGCTATTGTGCTGTTGTAAACATTGGTATGCAACTGTAATATATAACTGTAGTATGCTGATTTTGTATTTTTATGTAACTACCAAGAAGTGGGAAAGCTGGGCCGTACGGTGATTCCATTTAGAGGAATCACCATACCGCTTTCCAAAGTGGTCGTACTAATTTGCAGTCCCCTCAACAATGTATAAACATGCTTTTTCTTCCACATCTTCAATAATTATCCTTATTTGTATTTTTGATGATTGCCATTCTAATTGTGGTAGTATGAAATCTCAGTGTAGTTTTGACTTTTATCTCCCTAATTATACTAAGGATGTTGAACATATTTTCATAAATGTGGTGGCCATTTGAATTTCTTCTTTTGTAAAATGTCCCTTTAGATCTTTTGCCCATTTACTAAGTGGGTTATCAGGTGGGGTTCTTTTTTTAGTTCTTTATATATTGTGGTGATTAATCCTCTGTTGAAAGAGTATCTGGCAAACATATTCTCCCATTCTGTAGGCTGTCTTCACACTCTTAATTTTTTTTGTTACTGTGAAGAAGCTTTGTAATTTAATGCTGTCACATGTATTGGTTCTTGCTTTTATTTCTTGAGTTTTCAGGGTCATATTAAGTAAGTCAGTGCTCTTGCCAGTGTGTTGGAATGGTGCCCCCATGTTTTCTTGTATCACTTTTGCTGTTTCTGGACCAGTTCCTAAGTCTTTGATCTGTCACGACCCCCTTGTCCGCAAGGAAGACGCGACTCAGGAATCCTTTTTCAGCAGTTTATTCAGGCCCTTGATATTTTTTTAATGATTCTTCTACTACCCGGAATAATAATTGGATGCCCCTCCCAGCCTTAATAAAGCACCTCGAACCCCAATGCAAAGCTGCCACGTGTACCCTTCTCACAGGGTGCTAGAAAATGACACGCCAACTTTCTCTGATAAGGAGCTGGGAACACGCCAACTCTCTTTGATATGGAGTTGTCCTTCACAGACCACAACGGAGCCAGCGCCATCATGTAATGGCGACCACAGTCCGCGGGAACGGCTCACCACATTTGATCCACTTTGAGTTTATTTTTATGCAGAGTAAAAGTCAAGGATGTAGTTTCACTCTTCTACATATGGCTGTTCAGTTTTCCCCACAGCATTTGCTAAAGGGACTGTTGTTTCTACAGTGTGTGCTTTTGGCACCTTGGTCAGGAATCAGATTTATGTGGATTGGTCTCTGTGATTTTAATCCATTTTTAGTTTACTTTTATGTACTGCTTAAGATACAGGTCCACTTCACTCCTTTGCATGTAAATATCCTCTTTTCCCAGCACCATACGTGGATGAGAGAGTCACTTCCCTATCGATTGTTTTGGTGTCTTTTCAGTAATTGACTCTGTGTGCATGGGTTTATATCTGAGCCCTCTCCTGTGTTCCATATTCATGTGGTATTCTCTCTTCTCTTCTTTGTGTCAGCTTTCATGTTGATGTCTGACTACATTTAGAGTCTTACAATATACTTGTAATCACATGCTGTAATGCCCCTCATTTGTCCTTTTTTCTCAGGAGGAAAAAACTATGACCATTTTTGGTGCCATGTGAATTAAAGGATTTTCTTTTCATATCAAAAAGAATTGCCTTTGACAGATTAACAGAAATGTCACTGAATCTCTTGTTTTGAGTAGCCTGGACATTTTAACAACATTTATTCTTCTAATCCATATGCACACTATACCTTTTTATCCATATATGCCTTCAGTTTTTCTCATCATTGTTTTATAATTTTTAAAAAATATTAGTTATTGATGGGTCTTTATTTATTTATATGTGGTGCTGAGACTTGAACCCAGTGCCTCGCACATGTTAGGCAAGTGCTCACTGAGCCACAACCCCAGCCCAGAGTTTTATAATTTTTATGTTAAGTGGTAGTACTAATTCACTTTCTTTGAATACATTTGTGTCACTTTGTTTCTAAGTATTTTGTTTCTTTTGCTGCCATTGTAAATGGAATATTATTATTTGGGTCTTTTTTTGACAGTTGATTATTAAGGATATGAAAATGCATCTGATTTATTCTGGTGGATCATGTCTCCTGAACTTTGGCTGAAATTAGTTCTAACAGATTTATTGGAGAAGGTTGTAGCATCTTCTATGAAATGGTCTTGTCCTCTGCCAACAGAGGAGGCCCTTCCTTCTTCTTTCCTGGTTAGGGTGCCTGTGATTTCTTTTTCCTCCCTGATTCTGCTGGCTGACAAATGATTCTGAGAGGAGTCCCCATGGCCACATCTCCTAAGGGATCTGCCCAGGCCTCTGTATTCTCACCAGGGCTGTTCAGCACCAGCCTGAAAACCTGCCCACTCAATGGGGACAAACAGCATCTCAGTAGTATATGTGTTGACATTCAGATATTCAGACCATCTTAAACAGTTATTATGGGTAGTAATTCCCCTTTGAATTGTGAGAATTTGTCCTTTGTTCCACTAGAAAAATGATCAACTCATGGGGTTCTATGTGTCTCTGGGATAGTAACCATTTATCAGCCTAGACTTTTTAGGAACACTTTGCTAGTTGTGATTTGTCTTTCTAAGTATCTATGGTCTTCTTGTTTTTCCATAAGGAGTCAGTCATTTCCTTTGTGACTTGTGACCCTTCAGTCAGAAAAAAAACCTTTCAACTTCAATGTTATGAAAGTCTTTCCTAAGAATTTTTCTTTTTGCATATAAATGTAGATCTGCTGGATGTGTGGCATATAACTATATCCAAATGACATAGGAGGCTGAGGATTGAAAGTTGGAGACCAGTTTCCTGAACTTGGGGAGATCCTCTGGAAATTAGTGAGACTGCATCTCAGAAAACAAAAGGACTGTGAATGTGGCACTGTGTTAATATCTCTCTGGGTTCAATACTAGTACTTATTAAACAAAGAAATAAAACAAAAATAAATAATACAAAAATGGAAAAAATTACTTAGATCTCTATGGGATTTACCATTCAATGGAAATTCAAGCATAAACAGTCCCTAAACATATTATGTGGTCAAACAGAAGTCAGACTGCACTGATGTGAAAAACCCAGAAGAGGAAAATCACAGGGAGAGAATGATGAGTGTTCCCTGGAGACTAGCAGGAGGGAGGAGGGGAGGGAGTGGGTATGGATATCAGATACAGGACAACCAGATGCACCTAAAGACACTAAGCTGAATGTTTTTAAAAACAATCTTAATTTTTAAAATAAAATAGTTTGAATAATAATAATAATTATATATATATATATAAGTGAAGAAAATAAAAGGGTGGAGAGGGAAATGGCAACTCTGGTATTGGAACAGGTGTAAGGGGGTGTGCAGTGGGTAATGCTGGCTATGGGGCCACTAGGAGCCACAGGCCTGAAGCTGCTGTTGAAGGTGTTTCTGACCCTGGTGCTCTCTCAGGTGGTTCAGGTGGTTATGGAAGTTGAGCTGGGGTTTCTTTTCTTTTCTTAACTTACTTATCATTACAGACTACTGTGACACATAAGGTTTAAGTGCTTTATTATTTTGTTGGCTTGTTATTACCATAAATGATGTCTCTGCATACTGTTTTGTTCAGCACTGGTGTTGAGATTTACCTCCCTCATGACATGGAGCTGGACGTTGTTGCTTTTCCCTGCTGGATGTGATACCTAGTGTAACTGGTACAAAGGGGTTTTTCTTTTCTCCAGGCATTTTGTTTTCTTCTTCTTTTTTTCTACTTATCTACTTCCAAACAACACTGCTTTGAGCAAATGGGTTTAAATTTAGGGTAGCCTCAGCAATGGAGCAAGAGCCTGTCTCAAAATAAAAAGGAAAAGGACCATGGATGTAGCTCAGTGGTAAAGTGCTGCTGGTTTCAAGCCCAGTAACAAAAAACAAACAAACAAAAAAGAAACCCCAAACAAACAAAACAACAACAAAAAAGCAGACCTGAATGGCATTTACCCATCTAAGAAACTTAAATAGTCCCTTCCAACGTTATGTGGCCCAGGAGAAATTAGACTGCACTGGTTTGAAAAATGCAGGCTAGGCATATCACAGGACTAGAAAGCTGAGGTGTGGCTGAGGACAACAACAAAAATGGGGAGGGAGTGGTCATGGATACCAAATTCAGGAAAATGTGGTAATTAGTGCACAGTTTAGAGAATGCACTTAATGCCAATAAATTGAATATTTTAAAAAATGAATAAAATCTTTAATTTTAAAAGAAGCTAATTATACTAGAAACATAAACACAGAAAATAAAAATAAGGAATAAATAAATGGCAGGGGAGAGGAAGGGAGACTCTGGGTTGGTCTCAGTAAGTGGTGCTGGCTGAGGGGTCAGCAGGGCTTGTTGGTCTGGAGGTGCCATTGCAGGTGTTTTAGCACCAGCTCTCTCTCAGGTAGTGGACGTGGTGAAACTTGAGCTGGAGTTTCCACAAGCAGCAGAGGTTGCCCTGCAGCTGCAAGAGGAGTACAGATCAAGAGACTATCCCTGTTCCTTCCAGGGATAATATATTTCCCACTGCCTTTTACACAGTTCCACACACAAACCACCCTGGCAGTGCTCCTAGAATGCACACAGACAGTGACAGCCCTTCTGCTCATTGCTCCTGCCCCGCCCATTCCGGGATGATATGCTCTGTATGACCATCCCTGTCCCACTGTGACACACTCATATTCCCCCACCTCAGTTTTTCTTACCTTCTGCTGATCCTCCGTGGACTCCAGGTTTTTCTCTCAATGCTGGGCCTGGTGGCCTTGGTCCTCCATGTTGGGCCCTGTCATAGTGACTTGGCTGTGGATACTACCAAGTGGATAGTGAGGCAAGTCAAGGAGTGAGGGTACCACCCAAAAAGTAAGGGAGGGAAGCAGTATGAGAGGCCTGGCTTTTCTTACCATGATGTTGGTTTTATTGGCACCTCACTGTTCAGAGAAGCAGGCTGAAGCACAGAGAGGTTCAGTTCCAGGACTTAGCTTTATGTGACCCTGTCACCCTGGGCAGGGCCTACCTTCCCAATATTAGGTCCATCTCCTGTTGGGTGGAGGAACTCGATGGTGGAGGCCAAAGAGGATGAATCATAGAGGAAGGCAAGCTCCAGGGTCTCCCACCAGGCTCCCCAGGGAATATGCCTGGAACACACATACCGTGCAGGTATCATAAACCTTTGGAGCCACCTGTGCCTTCTTGGTTGGGACATAGAGGAAACATAAGAGTCAGTGCCAAACTGACTCACCAGAAGTGTCTGGGGATGGAGTTTAGTGCAATATCCAAAGCACATAGAGTCTTGTCCCACAGAGGGACAGGAGAGCCCCAGTAGAAGAATGGCTGGAGTTCAAAGTGGGATTGCCAAGGGGATAGTTAGAAACACAGCAGCTTCAGGTGGAAGCTCCATGCAATAAGAGCATTGTCCTATATGTCCCACCAGCACATCACCTTCTGGAGGTGAGAAAACAGGATCATCCCAGACAGGAGGGTGCCCTGTGTGATGACAGCCAAGACTTCATTCTCTGTGGTGCTGTTGAAATGGCTTCAGGAGGAATGAGGTCCAGGTCCTAGAGACCTGAAAGTCTGAATGACTGTCGAAACCAGGTCCCCCTGGAAGGTGGTGAGGCCCTGGGACCCCAGCACCTGCTTTCACAGTCTGGGGTGTGTTTTTTGAGACACAAGTACCAGAGAAATGGACCAATTGGCCCATGTTCCTGGTGTTTTGGGTAAATGCAGCCCTACTAATCCTGATGATGTGTAAGACTTTGAGAGTTTGTGAAAGGACAGTCAGGTCACTATCACCTGGACACCTGGGTCTATAGGAGTTTTAATTAGTTGGATGACAGAATGCAAATTGAATTGAAGTGTAATAGTGTTTGTGTCCAAGGCTAAGGTTGCAGAGGGTGCGGATGGGTGAGGAGTTGGTGCTCAGATTCCCCATGGTGTAGGATTATGCCCTACATCTCCCGGCCCTACCAGGAAAGTGGTCCTGGTGGTGTCTGTGCTCTAAGTCTGTTCTGCTATAGCTCTGTCAGTGAAGTCCCCTGTGTCCCATACTTACCCTGAGGCCCAGCTCCTGCCCAGTGGTGCTTGGCCCTGGCTCTTCCTCTCTTGATATAGAACTTATGCTGCAGCTCCAGCGCTTGTGGAGGATAATCTGTGGAAAGCATGGAAGACAGTGCCTGGTAGCTGGCAGACAGCCCCAGCTCCTGCTGGCCTCCATTTCTTCCCCTTGTGACCTTCTGAACCCAGACCTCATACAGACTCTTTGTTCCAGGCTTTTATCCTGGGAGGACAGTATATGACCCTGGGGGCCCAGGATGTACCCTGGACACTCACATACCCCACCTCCAACCCTGTCCTGGGAGTGACCATGACAGGACACCAGGCTCACAATCTCTCTACCCCAGCTACTCCTGCCTTAGACCTCTTCCCCCATACTGAGTGGGAAGGTAGTGGGGCTCTACAGGGCCACTCATAGTGATGGTTTCTCCTGGACATATCTCACCAAGGCTACCAGGTTTGGGCCTTTAGCTACTTTGAGGAGTATCACTTGGAGGAGTATCACCAGAGCAGCACTGAGAGTGTGATTGAAAGCAAATAGCCATGTCTTGGGGTCCCTGACTTGACCCCTCCTCCAGATATGCTGACATTTCTCCCTCTGGGTGACTATTGGCCCTCCTCCAGCCCCATGACACTTCCATATGTGTACACAGCCAACCTCAACATGTCCCCACATCCCTTGACAGGCCTGGGTGCAGCCAGGGTCCCAGCTCTGAGGAGACCCAGCTAGGTTTCAACCCAGCTCCTCCTCCTGTCCTCACTTGTGACCTTGGAGAAGTCATCATGTCTCTAAGGCTTGTTCTGCCTTCCCCTGCCCAGTGGCATCATCTTAGCATCTGCTTCCTAGCAGCAGCATCATAACACTTAGAAGCCACGTTGTCACATCTCTGTAATGCACAAAAGTAGAGATAAAATGTGGAAACAGGTGGGACTTCATATAGAGTAGAGCTAAAAACAAGCCTAGCCTCTTGCCTTGTGACCTTGAAAATGCCATTTTCCTTCCTGGCAGCCTTTCTTCATCTGCATCTTGAGGGGGTTGAAATGAAATTAATGGGAATATCCTCCCCTCCCAGAGCCACCCACCTTGTTTTCTTTGGGATGACTGAGTAAGCAGATCCCTGGGCACCTTAGAGACTTCCCAACAGTGAAATTCTGGCCCTTTCCCAAAACCTTTCCATTCTCGAGTTGAGTCATGGTACTTGGAGATGGGCTTTCTCTGTTCCATGGAAGTGCTGTCTCCAGCCTCTTTCTTCTTTCTTCTTCTGGTCTCATTGAGTGATCCCAGGTGTGCATAATCACCAGCCACAACTCTGCTTTGTTTTGAACCAGGTTCTCACAGTGTTGCTGAGGTTAACTTTGAACTTGCAATCTTCCTCAGCCTCCCAAGATGCTGATATTATAGCTGTGTACCACCATGGCTGGCATCTTTGTCCTTTTCTGTGTCATCTCCTGGGACCTCCATTTTCTCTGCCCTACACTCTGATCTTCACATGTGGTTTCTGTGTATAAATCTCTGGGTTTGTATCTATTGAGAGGCTGAAAATAAATATTATTACATGGCAAAGGCAGGCAGGTGTCCCTAGGATCATGGATGTTTTTTTTTCCAAAGGAAATCCTATGGGAGATGGATGAATCCTGAGCTAGGAAGTCATGATCCTGCCTTTTCCTCTGGAGTCTGCCTTTGTCCTGTTCTTTGGGCCAGTCCCTTCCTGACACTGGGCCTTGGTTTCCCAAATGTGCAGTGAATGGTTAGAGAGGAACTTACACATAGTCCCTTCTGGTAGATGCTACATAGTTTTCCAGGCCGGGTAGGGTTGGTCAGGGTGGTGCTTCAGGGTTCCATGTTACTGTCTGCACAGGATGGGTGCAGATGTACTCTGCTTGGTGCAGCCTGGCCTTGTGTTCATAGCATGTGTGTGTTATCATTGGCACAGGCATAGAAACAGTGCCTCACAATACATGCCCAGGTCTCCCATCCTTCCTCAAATGTGTGGTCCTTTTGTCCCATCTCCCCAAAGCCAGAGAGTAGTATCAGCTTCTCTCAGCTGCATGGATGTGGGGGCAGGGCTGAATCCCCAAAGTATCTGTGAGGTGCTGTGTCTATTAGAGGTGGGCTTGAATGGGAGCCTGGTGAAGGCACCAGATCCACAGAAATAGACATGGCATTCTTGGCCCTGCCTCCTGATCAGACAAGAATATATATATATATATGTTCTAGAGGAGGGAAGGGTCTGGCCTGAGTTCATGCAGTGAAGAAGCAGGGGCTTCAGTTGCAATTAGATTTGCCCATCCACTACAGAAATACCACCATCATAGGAGGACAGAAGATACGGAGAGAGGGATAGTTCTTCTTTCTCTATAAAAGAATTGGAGGTGGTGCTCAATGTTGACCTGGATGGCACCTGTGCAGTCAACTCACTGTCTTTCTGCCCCAGGCTCTCTGGAGCTGATTTCCATCTCTGAGTCTGTCCCTGGCCCTAGATGCTGAATTTCAGAAGATTTTTAAGGGAAAGGGAAAGAGAGTGCCACACAGCTTGGTTGGCTCCATGCAAGCTGATCCCCTCATCCTCACATTCCTTCTGCTCTCGTCTCATCAGCTTTATCAGGTGACTCTTAGCTGCAAGAGCGGTGAGGAATGACAACCTTTTAGTTAGAGAGTAACTTGCCCTAGAAACCAGTCTTAGTTCTGAAGAAATGGCCAAAGTGAAAACATGTTCAAGAGCAGACTCTTTCCTTCGCTAAACCCCAAGATAAAGGGGTGAAAGAGAGTCTTCTGGGGGTCTAGGCAGGGGTTTGTGTGTTATAAAACCAGGCCTATTACAAAACCATGCCTTCCTCACAGTGTGATTTTCCCAGAATCTGCAAGTTGCTCAAAAGAGAGTTTATTCATAAGATGGCCAAGGTTGGTAGGGAGAGACTGCAGATTCAAAACCACCTCCCTGAGGTTTAGGGGCATTAATGTGACAAGAAAGTCAATGAAAGGTAATTTGAGGAAAGGGATTCAGTTGTCTGTGTGAATAGGCAATCTACAAAGCACTTTTGGGAGTTCAAAAAATGTTCACAGTAGCATGATCTGAGGGTGGAGTTTTTGGCCTTTTGACTTCAAAAGCTTGCCATAGGACTTCTGTGCAGGCCCAAGTGAAAGAATTGGGGTTTTCAGCTGCTTTGATCTAAAAAATACACTGCCAGTTTTTGAAAAGCAACTTAAGCACACATTAACTTTGTGACCTGCAAGTTGAACAGTTATAGCAAAGATACTGGGATTGTAATATTTTTATTTATAGGAGGTATAGAATTGGGGATACAAAGAGATATCTAAAAGCATGTGAAGTCAGAGTACTCATTAGATTTTTCTTCAGGTTCATTGGAAGAGCAGAGATGAAAGATGCAATAGACCAGGGAAAGGGCTGGGCAAATTAGCAAGGAAACAAACAAATAGTAACTTGTGAGGCAATGACCAAGGCAAAGTACATAGTTAAGCAAAAGGAAATGGAAAGAATATCTCCCTTTGCACAGAGAGAGTATCAGCATGCTATGTAAAAATGAATGCCAGCCACGTTTTATTTACAAAAAAAATGTATGTGAACCAACATGGTGAATAAGAGCTGGCAGTAATTAAGTTTTCAGAGAGTTACAAATTAAAGCAAGGTAGGCTGGGCAATATCACCATCAGACAGGTGGACTCTACAGTCCCAACATGTGGTGTGATGCAGTGGTGGAAAGCAAAGCTGCAGCAGAAGTAAAGCAGTGAGGAGCCTGCATGGAGTAAGCCAGATGATGGCCAAATTCCCAAAGCCAAAGCTGTTAGAAAGGTCAGGAAGTTCAACACACACACACACACACACACACACACACACACACACACACAC